TCGTGGATGTCACCATTAATATTAAACATAGGTTACATCGTAAAATAAAAAGGTCCTGAAATACTAATACAAGTTCATCTCTTATTTCACTCAGCATCCTAACTAGATTCCATCAGCCTTAGTTCCGCTACCTGTGATGCATATAAATTGAGTGTGTTAGGTTTGGGAAACCCTGTGAGATGCATAGGGTTTTCAAGCCCATAATATTTTAATGATAATAAATCATTATAACATTCCTACAAACAAACATTATAAGTTCATATAATCTGACGTATGACCACTTACCCGGCCCAATCGATTCTCACAAATCCTAATTCGACGATCATCTGGAAGAATCACCTTACCTAATGAACCAAGCAACTGTTTAAGTACACAACTAGGGGAGTCCTTGGCCAGTGCAAGTCATACTAAGGCAACCAATGTATAGAGTATTTGCTAAATATGTCCCATTTCATCTACGTTTGTGGGTTATAAGTCCATACTAGCAAAGTTTTATTTTTATTTTCAATAATTCATATCTTCTTCATACGAGCTCCGTTTTCAACATTGTTTATATCCATACATAGCTATCAACGAGATCTAAAACTTTCATTTAGACTTCGTCGGCTAGTTCTCGTTTTGTTTTTAAAGTTATATTTTTAACAGGCTAAGACGGTTAAAGTCCGTATAAAAATCATAACTTTGTCATACGATATTTGTTCTCAACTTTCTTTATATCGACAGAATCCTATCGACGAGATCTTTAACTCTCGTTTAGATTGTTTTTCTTAACAATCAACCTAGGGTTTCTGGACAAAGGGAGGTTGGTAAGGAGGCCAACCACACACTCAAACTTGCAAGGAGATATACGAACTTAAGGTTTCTGGACAAAGGGAGGCTGGTAAGGAGGCCAACCAAGAGGGGTTAGGTCCTTTAAATAGGGTGCAACACCCTAAAATTAGGGTTTCATCCCAGCCGCCAACTCGTCGAGTTGGGTCATTAAAACCCGTTGCCACAATATTCTCAACACGACGAGTTGGAGCTCCCCAACTCGTCGAGTTCCAACAATGATTTCTAATATTTTGAGAAATGTTTTATACATGGACCAAACATTACACTTTCACTTAGTCCCTGCAAGTTAGAACAAATGTGGAAACCACATCCTATATCAAGAACCCATGAATAAGAAAGTTGTGTGTTATTGACTTAGATAGTGTAAATACTTGATGAGGGTGCCTTGATCTTTCCATCCTTCAAGTCCTGCATGTATTTTGGGCAGCTTCTTCTCCAATGAACCTTTTCACCACAATGGAAGCAAGTGACCTCTTTTGGATCACTGGTCGCAGGAACACCAAAGTTGGGCTTCGTCTTAGACCCACTACTAGACCCTCCAACATGGGCCTTCCCTTTCCCGGTGGATTAGGAATGAGCCTTCCTCTTTTTCCCTTTGCCAAATCTAATGGCTAGGACATGAGCATTTGTTGCAGTTTGAGCATGATTCTTCTTCATCCCCGGCTCAACAGTTTGCAACAAATTATGGAGTTGGGTCAATGTTGTCTCCGTGTTGTTCAAATGATAAGTTAAGACAAACTGATCATAACTAGGAGGAAAGGATTTAAGGACCATGTCAATGGCCAACTCCTCATCGAATGACACATTGAACCTCTAGAGTTGCTTCACATACCTTTGCATCTTCTGTACGTGAGCACAAACTGAATCTCCTTCCTTAAACTTGCATGTTATAAGAGATTTGACCACTTCATAGCTCTCTTGTCTCACAACCTTGTGGAACTTTCCAACAAGGTCAAGACTCATCTCATATGGCCAGTAGTCCTCATAGAACTTGGCCAAGTCAGGTGCCATAGTTTCCACCATGATACAAGCGACATTTGTGACGTCATCAGAATGTTTGTTGTAGGAAGCAATTTCCTCAGGAGTAGCGGTGGAATGATCGATTTCAACAAGAGGCTTATCGAGGACATATTCTTTTCCCTCGCATCGAAGGTTCATCTTCAAGTTTCTCATCCAATCCATGTAGTTGGGACCAGTGAGCTTCTCTTTTGACAAAATCGAGAGTAGGGAGAAATTTGAGTTTGAGGAACCAGTTTGAGTATTTGCGAGTTCACCATTTCCAAACATCTATATAAAGAGACATAATTTTTAGTTAGTGATATAGATCCTTCATATTTTGACCCAAATTTAATATTCAAGGCTATGATCCAAAAATACAATCACAACAAAGGAAAGGTATGCCGTAATCTAATTGTGAATTTATTAAGGTAGGTAATAAAAATTTATCAATTCCAATCTAACATGAAATTCCTAGGTCTTTTGAGAATCATTGAATATTATCAATGGCATGTTTAATCTCAGATTATACTCTTCAATTTGTGACTGGGATGTCGAGGATAACAAATAAGATGTGAATAACCATGCAAACCCGCTTGACAACATCGATATCATTTATCATATCAAATTAATGTGCTGGTTAACCACGTACGCTCCATTAACAATGATAATTTTCTATTTTTCCATCACTCAACTTTGTAGTCCCAAATTAGTGTGTTGGTTAACGATGCATGCTCCACTAATGACTTATAAAGATTGATGTGCATTTTCATGGATTAACATAAATTTCACATTTTGTCCTAAAGTAACTAGAGTTAGGATTTATAAAAAGTTTAGTTACTTTATAGTATCATACATTTAGTGGTTATGTCATATCAAACCCGTTCGGCTAACGACCCTCCACCATACAAGAGAGCGGTTGGTGAGACTGGACACCCATTCAATGGTTATTTTATAGGTCGTTATCCTTATACCTCATTAGAGTATGGCTTCGTGAATGATGCCTACTATTGATTTGACCGACTTGTCTTTTACATATAATATATTAACTTTTAATCATATATAATGTAAGGTGTATTTTAAATCTTTTCAAAATATGTGGTTTAAATATTAGTTATCTAAATTATCATATAATTAAACAATCAATTTAAACATGCTATGAATTTATAATTATCTTTTAATTACATTACTATTAGATTAATTAATAAATTCATAAGAGATGATTTACTTTAATTTATCTAATTAAAAAATTATCAATTAAGGATATCTCCTAGTATTAGGGTTTTATGGATTATCACACAAGACATTCAAAATTCGGAATCTAACAAAATTAATATCGGATAATTACCAAAAATAACACCATAAATCTGATTAGGAGGATAATTATTGAAATTATGAAAAATATTGTTCTCACGTTGTGAGAGCTATAGCTCACGTCGTGAGCTCAATTATTTGCAAAAAAATTGTTTAGATCGATTCAAGTCATGTGCAATCAATGTTTGACGAATCTAGGCTCTAATACCACTAATGTGTTTTATAGATAGCAACTATGTACAATACAAAAAACAATTAACAGTTAATAGGATACATGCATCATATAAAAGATCTATGTCATACACCTTGATAGCAACATACAATGGACAACTAAACTAGCCTAATCCTAGTGTAAATCGAAATTAAAAAGTTTTAGGTTACGTACCTTTTGATTTGTTATAGAAAACAAATCAAACCGATTCTTGTAGTTATGAAGCTCGGAAAGACTAACACCAAAAAGATGATGCCTCTAACGGTTTGTACCCAAACCTTAGCAACAAGAACACAAGAGGAGAGAGGAGAGGGGTAAGGAATTTCGGCTCTTAAAAGAGTAAGAAGGCATGCCGAAAATATGACCCTTAAGGTCTTATTTATATGTGATAAGGAATCCTTGGATAACACTCAATTGAATATAATAGTAATATCTCAAAATAGACAGTTATCCAAATCCTTTACTTATCCTCCAAGGCTTCCTAGAAGCCTTAGTAACCTCTACAGAAACCGTCCCCATGAGGGAGGTTCTAAAATCTCTTCAATGCTCAACTTTTTGAACAATGTCACCTTTAGTCTTTGCACTTCCAATTAATTTAATTAATCCCAAAATTAATTCCAATCAATTTATGATTAACTCTTAATTAATAATTACTATTTCTAATTATTATACTAATTAAATAAGATATTAATAAATTACTCTCTCTCTCTCTCTCTCTCTCTCCAAATGCAATTCTTTTCACTTGCTAGTTCCGAGGGCAACCCAAAAAGGACTTTGCTTTTATTTCAAGAATATACCAATTTAGTTATTGACTTAGACACCTAAATCAACAATTATTTCATATATGATTCTTATGTATGTTTTATGTATGTTGATAGGAGATTTGGTAGGTTGGCGCAAGAGCTGAAAACTTTGTGTGGATGCATTGTATATATGATGGAATATGTGGTATATTGGGAACTCACTAAGCTTTATGTTTATAGTTGTGGATTAAATGTTTTGTATGTTGTTCGTGAGAAGAGCTCGACGGGACTGTACACACGTATTGAAGATATTCGTTTCTGCTGTTTTGTAATTCAACTATGATATTGTATGGTTTCAATCAAACAAACGTCACTCAAGGTTTTTGAGATAAATGTTTTAATTGGTTAATCTATTTTAAAAATGAAAAATCTCTCTGTAATTTTTGGGATGTTACAACAAGAAAGCGGTTGATATTTGTAAGCATCTCTGTCTATATAGGATGCAATGACACGTGGAGAAGCAAAAGAAATTAGCTCCAAACCAACCAATAAGCAACATTTCCCACTAATAAGAGCCATACCGGAAAACCCACCAAAATACTTGTCACTGTTCATCAACGCTACTCTTATTAATATGAATATAATTTAACATAATATTATTACATAAATATACATTCAAGTAAATATTATTATAATAATATTATACCAAAACATAAAATGATAAAAATAATAAAAACTAGAAAAAGATCCTGGGCTTTGCCCCGAGTTAGATAAATTTTTTATATATATATATTTTCTGTTTTGTGTAATGGCTGGGATTGTACTTTTAAATTTTTTTACAGTTGAGGTTGATGCAATGTATTCTAAAAATGTTAAACATTGATATTCTTTAATTATGAGAAGCAATGTTTCTACTTGTAAGTGTGCATTGTGTGTATCTATTTTCATTTTTTTTTATTTTGTAGTTATTTGCGTGTGATGATAAGTTCAAACGGCAAAGTAGAAGTTAAAGTAGTGTCAACGTCTTATTTTAGAGCATGACGTTCATACAAATGATGAAAAAACTATTACATATACAATATCAAAAAAGGAAATTGGTTGGACGTTGACTAATCAGACATAACTAACAAAAAAGAGGGAACGGTTGATAGCTAATTGTCAAGGAGTTCTTTCATGAGTTTCCTGTGGTCGACAATTGCTTCTTTGATTTCTTCCTAGAGGGAGGCGATGATTATTTGCATCTTGTTGTCACGTGACTTTACTTTGTCGAGAACATTGTCAGATATTACGAAGTTTAGGAAGCATGCGAGTTTCTATGGTGTTGTAGTACTCTTGATGAATTGAATATATATATATATATAATTTTTATTGTTTATTTTTACGTGTAGTCATGTGATCAGTAGTTTAGTGAAAGCCAAGGAGTAGAAGCGACAACTCCACAAAATATGGTGACAGAATTATGAAGCACGTAGACATTTATGTAAATTACGGGAACAATTTTTTTTTTAATTAGTTTTGTACACAGGGGTCAAAACCTACAAAAATACAAAAATGTTACACATATGAAATGTTTTTGAAAAAAAACTTTACAGGGACCTTTTCTATAAATTAAAAAATTACAGAGAGTAAATCTATCAAATTTTAAAACCTTTGTTGCAAGGACTAAATCAATCAATATATAACCTTTGTTGCAATGACTAAATATGCCAAAAGATTTGCAGGGACTAAATCTATTAAAATATAAAAGGAACTAAACATGCCAAAATATAAAAACAACAAAGAATACCAAGCAAATTAAAAAAAAAACAACAAAATCTAAAAAAACATTGGGCAAAAAATTAACCAAACTATACTTCTAAATTTAATATTTAATATACAGTATATAATAAATAAAATAAGAATAATAAATACGGAACCCAGGCCGTTGGACTTGGTACACACAAATCATTTTCATCACGGTTCTTATTATTGTATTCTTCCCACGCGCCAATAGCCAATCGCCAAAACACAGATAGTCCACTCAGGTTTCAACATTCTAGTTTTACCTCTGTCACTCCCGTCTGAAACTACAACGTACAACCCTCTGGCTCTGCTCCTTGGTATCTCCGCCCCTGCTACCGCCACTATTTATCGACCTCTCTACACTTTCACCTCTCAAATTTCTTCGTCATTTGCGTCTTCAGATACCACGCTCGAGGTATGTTCCGTACTTCTCAACTTGTGATTCCTTCTCTAGTTTTGGTGTATAGTGTCATCCGCCTTTGATGTCCTCTTGCGATCACTTTTACTTATTTCTTTCGTCTCTTCTCACTGTCACTGCACATTGTTGATCGGCGAGAATCCGATTTGGATTCAAACCTAGGACTTTTTGTCTTAAGAATTTGAGTTTTACATTTAATTTGTTTTATCCCCCAAATTTGACTTTTACATTTAAGTTGCTTTCAAGATATTTAAAGTATTAGAAAATGCTTGCTTTTGAGGGTTTTTGACTCTGATCATAAATGGCCTGGATAATTCGTGTCCTGTTCTCACTTTCACCGACTTACCCCCCTTCTTCGTTTCTTTATGTTACAGTGGAAGCTACATGGTGCTAGACACCGAGTATAAGCTATAAACTGTTGGCACTGACAGCTTTCATATAACCAACGGCTTAATTAACCAAGCTTCTTATAGTTAAATATGTGCTACACAATTAGATAAAAATATGTACTAATGAGAGGTCCCTTTATCATCTAGAACTCTGGCATTTTCCTTGTTGTGTGTGTGTGTGTCATGAAAATCATAATTCATATGTTAATAAAGAGTTTTACAACGAGCTTTTTCATTAACTATGATGATTAGATTGGGACAACAGTCAACAGGTGAAAAGTAATTAGGACCAATAAATCATAACACCTTCCATTTTAAAAAGCCTGAGTACTCATCTTTGCAATTTACACAAGTAATTGTGAGGGAAAGACATATGAAGTATTAGAAAATAGTTCAACTACACAACTTTTGTAATGTTCCTTCCCTAATCCCTATCAAGAAGCTCTCTATCATATGGGTGAAGCTTGTGATTCGAGGCCATATGAGAATCTACAATGTGACTATCCAACTCACACAAGATATGGATACTTTCACTAGTGGAAAAGGAGGCGAGAATCCATAACTGAGAGAGGTCTTAAGTTTAACTGGGCATCACCTTTCCTTGCTCTTCTGACATTGTGATTTATCTTCCCCCATGTCGAGCTGTGGGACTGGTTACCATTTTTACATGATATGTATACTTTCTCTACCACATAAAGATGCCTTTGTGAGAACAAACAACCACAATGTCTAGTAAATAGGTAAAATTTTTTAAAGTTATTAATCTAAAATTTCCATTCAACGCAATTTTTTTATAGCTACAATCTCCTCTAAGGAGTCACTAGTGATCTCGATATCATCAAACACAAACAATACACGAGATTGTGTATGTGACGCTGATGCATCACTGAATGCTACCAAAAAGTCAAAGGGAACCAAGATAATCAAATCTTTACTTGAGATGGTGATGCAAAACTTAAGATCATCCAATCCAATTATTATCATTCACTTGATAGGAACTGCAAAAAAATCACAACTGAAAAGTCAAACCGTTTTAATAACCGATGGGCTGGTGTTTGATTTCTAGAAAAAACCCAACTTTTAGGCTGACTTTGGTTTCTTTTATACAAAAACCAAACTGAACTAAAAGATCCAAAACAAGGTTGTTTAATTCATTAAATATTTTAAAAGTTAAAAATAGTTATATGATTCCCATCGAAAACTTAGAATAATGGACATACCTTTACGTCGTGTTGCTCTTGCATTATTTTTTTAGTATACTTTGAGTAAATTGCTTGTTTTTTTGTTAAAGTTTATAAGCTTGGTAATGAGAAATATTAAAATTAAAGAATAATAAAAACCTGAAAAGTAATAAAAACAACCTTAAAAACCAAACATAATTTGGTTTTACAATGTGACGCCTGAACTTTTTGGTTCGGTTTTGCTTTCAGAACCAAACTGTGCTTACAATTGCATATATTGTATTTAGCAATATTATTTTTTGTTGTTCACCTTCCATCTCAGTTGAAGGAAGTTACTATAAACTGATGACAAATATAAAGTTATCAATCACAATTCCAAATTTCCAATCCAGCAACCAAGCCAAGGGTAAAAGTAAAAAAAAAAAAACAAAATGATGAAACCAGCTTAGCAGATTACGACCCGACACAAGGAAGGATAAATTTATGTATGGACTCATTGGGCCAACATTTGTAATCTTAATCTTGTGGTTGAGGCATGCATGTTTATAAAGTTTTACAGTAATTGTATAGTTTGGTTGCAGCTTTGTTATTAGTATACATGCCTTGTTGAGCAGGAGCAGTGAATTGTTGTTTCAGTTGTAAGAGCAATCTGGGGATGAGTGCGTATATTGTGGGTGTGTTGGCTCCTCTTGTACTGACTCTTGCCCTTCGGAGCTCTAGAAAAGGAAAAATCCGAGGTTTGGCTGCTGATGCTGACGTGGAAGGGGAAGGTGGGTATGCGATCAGAAACCACCGGTTTGCATCTCCAGTGGAAACAGCATGGGAAGGGATAAAAACTCTTGCAGAGCTTTTTGAGCAGGCATGCAAGCAGCATGGTGACAAAAATCTGCTTGGAACACGGAAATTAATATCCAGGGAGACACAAGTACATGCAGATGGGAGGTTATTTGAAAAGCTTCATCTTGGTGATTATGAGTGGATGAGTTATGGTCAAGTGTTTGAAACTGTGTGCAATTTTGCATCTGGGTTGGTGCAAGTTGGGCATACAACTGGAGAACGTGTAGCAATCTTTGCGGATACACGGGAGGAATGGTTTATTGCACTGCAGGTACCAAAACCTGCTTTTGCTTTTGCATCATGATTAAGATGCAGTATGATTTTCTACTGTAACTTTACTAACCATCTTATCCTATATATATATATATATATATATATATATATATATATATATATATATATATATATATATTCCTATCAATCAGGCTTGTTTCAGGCGCAATCTCACTGTTGTCACCATGTATGCATCTTTGGGAGAAGAAGCCATCTGCCACTCATTAAACGAGGTATTTCGTCCTTCCTTTTATTTTTGGTATATTATATATAAAAGAAAACCAAATAAACAATCTTTGAGGCAGTGGCACCCACACTACTAACAATATTAGAGAAGCAGGGCATGGCCCCCCCCCCCCAAGACATAACTCAAAGGAAGACATTTTGTTTTGTTGGATGGCTTGTAGGAATAGAATGAATTTCATATTTTTCTGTTATATTATTATGTAAATAAAATGTGCAAGTTTTTAACTCTACTCGTTACATTTTTTAATTTTTTTATTTATAGAAATAAACAATTAAACATAATAAGAGCTACATACATATACATATACATAACATAAATAAACATGGGCACTTCATTTCATTCCATGATGGATTGAAAAACATCCTGGTCAAGGAATGGAATCAACAAAATCACCTTCCTAAAAATTAGTTTAGTCCAGTCCATCAGACAAGAGTGACTAATGGCTTCGTTTCATTCCATTCCTTAGTTGATTCCTTCATATATGTAAGCTACAGAATCATCATAAAGCTAAATCGTTACATCTGTTGTCTCATAAAAGATGCATTTAGACCATGACAATTAAGCTTGAATTGTTCATATCATAGGATGTTAACTAAACTCCTACTTATTATTCAGTCTTTTTATCTTTCTCTATTTATATTTATAAAAACAACACTTGGAGATAGCATTCGAGTGTGCCCTTAGGACTCCTACAATTCGTCTAAATCTGTTAATATATATCTTCTGCATGACGAATTTAGATAGGGGTACATAATTTTTGGATCATATCAATATTATAATTCCCCATTGGTTGGTAACACCATGAATATTGCTAAACTTATGTATCATTAGTTTTTCGATTGTGATCTTTTTGCTTCCATTTTCTAAACATTGAATAATAATAAAAAATCTAACTATTAATTCCTATTTATCTTGTTGATAAATCTAATAATGCTTAAAATGAGGTACTATGATTTTGGTCAATCAAAAATAGTTGGAACGATAAACTTTACTCTTCTATTCCCAAAAGAGTGATACGTATTTGCTTTCGTGGCACGATCAACCTATTCAAAATGGATATATCATATGAATTCCAAATTTAAAGAAGATAGTTAGTTACATCTAAAAAAGTATTGTTTCTTTTTTCAGACTGAGGTTACTACTGTAATTTGTGGAAACAAAGAGCTGAAGAAGCTTCTAGATATAAGTGGACAAATAGACACGGTAGAACGTGTAATATGCATGGATGATGATGATATGTTGAGTGATGGAAGCAGCAGTTGGAAAATGTATTCGTATTCTGAAGTAGAACAAATTGGCAGAGAGAAGCCTGTTGATGCAGATCTACCACTCCCAGCTGATGTTGCAGTCATTATGTATACAAGTGGAAGTACTGGCTTACCTAAGGTTATTACCACATTACAATTCTTATTCCTTAATATTTTCGTTTGCCATTTTAATTAGGAATGACAATTGGCATCATACTTTGATTTGTTTCTATTACAACACCGTATTTCCACTTTATATCTTATTATTATGGCATTGTACTTTGACAGATCTGCCCAATTTTAGCATTCATGTTTCTTATTAAGACATTATACTCTGAAAAATCTACCCAATTTTAGCACTGTAGTTTCAATTTTTTCGTATATGCAATTATAGAAATGAAAATTGCTTTGTATTTGGATTGCATTGCCAGTTTTTAAAGTACAACGCTGTTATAGGCAGAAATGAACGGACGTTTGTTTCTTTGCATTTAACCTTTTTTAATTAGGTCTAAATGCGATAAACAGCAACACACTTTCATTTATTTCTGTATTATAGCATCCTGCTTTCATTTATTTCTATTAACATTACACTTTCATTTTTTTTTCTTATGAAGGTATTGTACTTTGAAAATCTGTCCAAATATAGCATTCTACTTTCAACTTTTTTCTTACCAGGACATTGTACTTTGAAAAATCTACCGAATAATAGCGATGAAAATTGGCTATAGTTGGGGAGTTTTGTATAGTACAATGCTGTTATAGGGAAAAATAAAAGCAGGATGCTATTATAAACAAATAAATGAAAGTACGTGGCTGTTTCTTGCATTGAACCCTTTTAAATATGAAATTCTTTAATATAGTGCAATAGATTATTCTCCTATCAAGTGTTGTAAAGGTGTTGAGCTAGATGATTGAATTGCTCAACACTCAATCATCTATATTGTAAAGAAAATTTTGAAGATCATTAAATTCTGTGTAAGTATATGATTTAGGAATTTGATATTATATTACTTTTCTAGACGAATACTGTTGAATGATTGCTGAGTATATATATGTTTTGGCTCTATGCAGGGAGTAATGATGACACACAGCAATGTTTTAGCTACAGTTTCTGCTGTGATGACCATTGTGCCTGGCTTAGGAGGCAAGGATGTTTATTTAGCATACTTACCACTGGCACATATTCTTGAACTTGCAGCCGAGGTATAATTATAATAAATTAGTTGAAATATCATATTTATTTCTTTCCAAAAATATTATGATTTCAGTTTGTGTATTGTATATTATAGGAACATTCATTTTGTTTTTCTTATTAAGGCATTGTAGTCTGAAAAGTTTACCCAGTTATTGGGTCAAGAAATCTAGTCCATTACAGCTGTGTTGTATTTGGATGAGATTTGTGAAGGTTGAATGGTGTAATGAGAAGAAGAAAAGGAAGTATAAATTATACTAATAAACAAGTAAATGGAAGTAGATTGGTATGTGTTTTAACCCTTTTATATTTGATGTGACAGAATCTGATTGCAGCTGTAGGAAGTTCAATCGGTTATGGATCCCCTTTAACTCTTACAGATACATCAAGCAAAATTAAGAGGGGCACAAAGGGAGATGCATCCACTCTAAGGCCAACATTAATGGCATCCGTTCCAGCTATTCTTGATCGTGTTCGAGATGGTGTGCGCAACAAGGTTGCTTAAAATTTCATGCCTATAAATATATATAAATTCCAATATATGCGTAGATTTTTCAAATTATAATTATCTTTTATTTTAAATCGAACTTGGCATTGTTCTACCCCATACCATACTGAGTTGGAAAATGCCATGTCAAAAAAAAAAAAAGTGAAAGCAAAGTGTGTTTAGAACAAAAATTGGAAAATCGAAAAAAGATGAAAATGTGGTGTATTTTGTGCCATTGAACAAAAATGAAAAGGTCAAATTTGAAGAAAGTTGGAAAATATCGGTTTGAAACAAAAACTAATGCAGTGTCGAAATCGAAAGAGGGTGAAAACATGGAGTCTTTTGTTTTTGTTTTTAGGAAAAAAAAAAAATACAATGCATGAGTAAGTAAATACAGCGTAACAATAGGATGGTATACAGAAATAAATGAAAGTAGGTTTTTGCATTATGTATATATATATATATATATATATATATATATATATATATATATATTATTGGGGAAGTGGAGATGAGAATTGAATTGTGTTTCAGGTGGATTCAGCAGGCGGAGTATCAAAGAAGTTGTTTGATTTGGCGTATGGTCGGCGGTTGTCTGCAATTAATGGGAGTTGGTTTGGGGCATGGGGATTAGAAAAGTTTCTGTGGAGCTTTCTTGTCTTCAGAAAGGTCCGAGCCATTTTGGGTGGTCGTATCCGCTTTATTCTTTCTGGAGGCGCCCCTTTGTCTGCTGATACTCAAAGATTTATCAACATTTGTCTCGGGTTACTTTCCTCTACTACCACTACCACTAACAAAATTCCTCATCTCTCCACTTGCAACAAATATCAATTCTTTTTTTTTTTACTACCTGATCAACCAAATAAAAAGCAATTTTCCTTAGTTATTATTGGAGAAACTACAATTCTATAATCGCATCCCACCTTTGCAAAGTACAATCAATGCCTTAATAAGAAAAGAAAATAACTTGAGTGATTTTTTGTTCATTACACTTTTTAATAATAGAGTAGAGAAGGGCAGTTAAGTCAATTAATTAGTTACAAGTCGGTTTCATAAGTAGATGAGAGGTATCAAATTCATAATCATGCCATTGCTATCAGGATGCTACAACACACACAACAGATAAATGAAACTATGTTGCTATTTCTTGCATTCAACCCTTTTTTTGTTCATTGATAATGCCGATGGGCTGCATCTGTTACTTGTTAATATAGACCAAAAACTTACTCATTTTACAAGTAGCTTCCATAATACTGAAATGGACAAACAAGTTCAGATTTAGCCTCCACATTTTTATCCAATTACCCACTCTTTTCTGATTCACCTCTAATACTTTTTTTGACCATTAAAGAAAAAAAACACGCTTTTTCTAGGTTACTCGATTTTGAAAAAGAGAAAACACAATGCACTTTCACAATTTTATTGATTTAGCTACTGATTTTTTAATGTTTATTATAATAATAGTTCAGTGGCTAAATCGACAAGACATTGTGCTTTTCTGTATTCTGTGTTAATGTAAAAATCTTTTTCTCTAAAACAGTAAAAAGGAGTATAGAAAATAGTCAAGTGGCTAAAGCAATAAAATGGTGAAAGTTTCTTTGTGTATTTTGTCATTTTTTAAAACAGTAGCTTCTAAAGTTTCTTAGGAATGATATGGACTAAATTACAGCAGTGACCTTTTCTGAGTGTAAAAAAAATAAACAATGGACATGATATAAGTCCTTTATCTACTGACTGACTTTATTTTGTGTTTCCATGATGTTAGAGCTCCAATAGGTCAAGGTTATGGTCTAACTGAGACTTGTGCTGGTGGGACATTTTCTGAGTATGATGATACATCTGTTGGTCGTGTTGGTGCACCCCTTCCTTGCTCCTATATCAAGGTAATATTGTCTCTCATATTCATATTTTTGAAAAAAAAATGATATTTGATTGCGAGAACATCAAATTTTCTTTTAGAAAATATTATAGTACAACACAAATAATGAAATTTTTTGTAGCATTCAACTAGTGACCTCCAATGTGGAATGCTAGCATTGTGCCACTCGTTTTGCATATTCTCTATAAAATCTATTACTATATTATATATGTTGTAATTTAGTAACGTTTAGATGTTTACAAAACATTATGAACTAAAGTAAACATGCTGTCTTTACTTTCTAATACTTGGATATATATATATATATATATATATATATATATATATATATATATATATATATATATATATATATATATATGCTATTTTCCATGAAATAAAACACATTTTGTTGGATTGTGCTCTATTTATATTTGAACGACATTGCTATAACTGTAGATATTTTTCAAAGAACAAACCTCTAATAGGATGCTATTTCTTGCATTTAACCCTTCTATTTATTACTTAGACCTAGTGTAGTCTTTCTTCAACACCATTTCATTTATTTAGATACACATAGAATAGATTCTAAAGTTTATTTAGTATTCGGCTTTCTACGTTCTGAGTTCTAGTCGGATCTTATTATCTCAGTAGTGATGCTGTAAGTGTTAGTACTCAAGCTATTATCAAACATTTCACATTAACATTTGTACACATTATGTTGATTTTGTGTGTGTGTGTGTTATTTAGTTGTATTTAAAATGAGTATATTGTGCATTTGAAATAGTAGTTTGATTTGATCAACTAAAATAAAATGTTAAAACTGTTGCTATTGCATGCACAATCTTGTGATTTGACAATTGACATTGATGATTGATTGTATTATTATTTTTGTGTCGTGCAGTTAATCGATTGGGCGGAGGGTGGTTACTTAACGAGTGATTCACCTATGCCTCGTGGGGAAATAGTGATTGGTGGGCCAAATGTTACTCTGGGTTACTTCAAAAATGATGAAAAGACAAAGGAAGTATACAAAGTAAGTAATAGTATTCTTTCTTAATTCCTGAAATTTTTGCATCAACTGATGTGACCCAATGATAAATAAATTTTTTGATGTGGGACAAACATTTGACTTATATATATATAATTTTGGGAAAAAGGTTGATAAGAGAGGGTTGAGGTGGTTCTACACGGGTGATGTTGGGCAGTTCCATAAAGATGGGTGCCTTGAGATAATTGACCGTAAGAAGGATATTGTGAAACTTCAACATGGAGAATATGTTTCTCTTGGAAAGGTATGCCTTTTGTGCATTATATATATAAATTTTTATTTTTTTCTGAGTGCTTCTTATTACTTATATATCTATACACACACACACACACAATGTACAGGTTGAGGCGGGTCTTAGTGTTAGCCCTTATGTGGATAACATCATGGTGCATGCCAATTCATTTCATAGTTACTGTGTGGCTCTTGTGGTGGCTTCACAGCCTGCACTCGAATCTTGGGCTTTGCAAAAAGGTATCAACTTTGATGACTTCACAAGTTTGTGCCAAATGGAAGAAACCCTCAAGGAAGTTTATACTTCCCTTGTAAAGGTAACTAAAACTACACTTTTTATTTGGCTTGTAAATATAAGTTACAACAATTCTGTTTTTCTCACTTCTTAATCCTAATCCTTATCCTAATTTATTTGTTGGCTACAAATAGTTACCTACTTCCACTTCCATTGATTTCTTTTCTTTTCTTATATCATCCTCATCCTACTTTTATTTCTTCATGTTACAATATTCTACTTTGAAAAATCCACCCAGTTAATGCCATCCAAATACAAAGCTACAGATTTTTCAAAGTACAATGCCTTTAATAAGAAAAAAGTTTAAACTACAATGCTGTAGTGGAATTTTAATTTTCTTCTTCTCAATCTCTTGTTTGTGCAAAGGCATGAATGCAACATAATTATAAGATAATGTGGAGATTATATGTACAGGCTGCAAAAACAGCAAGATTGGAGAAGTTTGAGATCCCTGCAAAAATCAAATTGCTTTCTGAAGCGTGGACTCCTGAATCCGGACTCGTTACTGCAGCACTAAAACTCAAGAGAGATGTCATCAGAAAGACATTCAAACAGGACCTTGCTAACTTCTACTCATAGCTCCATTACTTTCTTTGTTTCTTCGTGTACAAGTTTTGTTCTTTCCCCCATCCCCTCTCTTTTGATTGATTCTACTTGTTTTTGTTACTTCTTTTTATGCTAAGTTTTCTACAATTGCATTTTCCTTTATCAAGAATTTTATGGGTTTAGATTTTAATTTTTGATTCGTTTAAACGTTTATGACCCATACTCGTTTACCCTTTTATTAAAGGGGTTGGGTATTTATCAATTCCTTCACTTATAACCTGCACCGCGCGTGTATATATATATATATATATATATATATATATATATATATATATATATATATATATATATATATATATATATATATATATAGGCTTAGGTTATTTTGTTTCTACTAAAAATTGTATGTCAGAATGCACAAATCTGGACCATCAGATGGAATAGAATCAAGGGTCATGATCTGAGGGTCTATGATAGTACAATAAGGTAACATGTACCATATAATCATACAAATTTCAGCATAAGGGCATTTTAGTCAATTGAGACAAATTTAAAAAAGAAAAAATCGAGATTTATGGGATAATTAATGATTTTGATTTAAAAAATCTGATTTTTTTCAAATTAATTCAATTTCAAACGTAATTTGTAAACATGAACCGATTTTATTCTATCAGAATGTTATTTTGTTACAATGATATTCTGTAATTCTGTCAGAATGGTATACAACTTGATCAATAATTTTTAATGAATATAAATTTTATATAAGACGAAGTTTAATAGTTTAGAATAAGTAATTACATTCATTCTTAAAGAATACAACTATGAACATAAACTACATTCATTCTTGAAATCTCTTGCAAAAAAAATATCTACATTCTTGAAAGAATCCTCATTCACTTTCTTGTTTCGTTTCTAGATGTCTTTTATATGTTTGACCTCTAAGCCACTTCAAAATATGGTAGCATTCTATGAGATTGACATTTTGTGAGATTGATATTTTGTCAGAATTGTATTGCATGAGAATGATTTTATACAAGGAGCCTTTCCCATCAGGTCTTCAAGCCATTCTTCAAGCCATTTCTATCATAAATTCATTGCCAAATATTTTGTAGTGATACACTTGTAATAACTGCACATTAAACATATAACTAATTAACTACAATTCTATCAGAATACAACAATAATATTCTTACAGAATAAACTATTCTTGCAGAATGGTTTTGAATATTCTTAAAGAATTTGTATTATCAAGAATATACCCAACGAACAAAACATTTGAAATGTAAATGCAGGAAAAGATCATGTTAACACAAAGATGTATTTTGAATGAATAATGTCACACCCCCAAACCGGAACGGCGGAAACGTTCGGGGGCGGATGACGTTATACTTAGTATCACAACACATGCATCATAGTAATCAAAGTAACAAACAACCATTGCATTAATATTAAAGTGTTTACAATGTATTAGATTCACAAAAGATTGACTCCAAAGCAATTAACAAAACAAGACATGAAGCTACCATGCTCCATCTTCTGAATCCCTGTGCGTGTACCTGTCTACTAGTTTCCTGAGAATACAAGTTATTTTGAAAGAGTAGATCAGCATTTAAGCTGGTGAGTTCATAAGTATTTTAGTTATGAAAAGTAAACTATAAGTTCTTTTTGAAAAGTTCGCCTGTTCCTCCATAAAATCCTATATTTTCTTATGTGATAATTGATAAGTAAAAACGACTCTACAATTCCTTCTATGAGTACTAAATAGATACAAGTTATATACAATTTAGAGTAACAGACAATCGATTGTGTGAATCTGCCCTAAGCCCACAACCAAACAAGGAACAGGAAATGAGGCGGAAGTCACACATCCCATTGTTTGTTAGATCTTCATTGTATATAACTATGGCGTATTCATTTGGTACTTACGGAGTTAACTGTAATAGTTCTTTATATTTGATGAAAACATTCTTTAAGAAAATCATATATTTCCTTTAGTAAAAATGGTAACCACAATAGTTCCTTCTATAATCACTTAGTTTATACTAGCTATATATAATCTAATATCGAACGATAGTTAAATGGGTGAATCTGCCCTAAGCCCACAACCAAACAAGGAACATGAAATGAGGCGGAAAACACACATCCAATTGCCTGTCGGATATTAATTATATATAACCCTGATGTATAAACTAATGTATTATAGAATTAACCACTAAAGGTCCTTTAAGTTATACTGGTTTAATAATGTGTATTAAACCCTTTTACGGATGAGTTTCTAGTTTAGCCTACTTAATGTTCTATCTGAAAAGTATGTTTTTGTACTAGAAAACGGTATACTGAATTTGTATGCTATGACCTGACCCATACCTGATACTCCTTATGATTACTTGGTGTATACAGGATATATATATATATATATATATATATATATATATATATATATATATATATATATATATATATAAAAGATCGAATAGATAGTAGATTGTGTGAATCTGCTCTAAGCCCACAACCAAACAAGGAACATGAAATGAAGCGGAAAGCACACATCCTACTGTCTGTCGGATCCTATTAATATATATCCCTAATGTATCCACTAAGGAATCATAAAGTTAGCATTATAGGCCCCCTTCTAACTGAATGTACCAAAACCCGACTGTTCTGTTTGTCTTTTGTAATAATGTATGTTTTCCCAAGTTTAAGACTATCTTTACTAGAAAATAGTTTGCATTACCATTTATGTGAGAATATCACTATATGAATATAATGAGAAAATGAAAGTGTACAGTAATGTTGTATAAAGTGACTACTGAAGCACTAACTACCTTAAAACCAATTTGTTAATTAAGGTTAAAATGTGATGTGGTTATAACCATACTGATTGACAAGTTTTTAACACGACGACCTGCTGGCGTCGAAAAGGATGTGACATTTGTCACCCCTTGGCCTGCCGGCCAAACTGTAGCGAACAGTCGGGATGCGGGATTGTCAGTCCCGTATAGATCTATACACACAATGCCCACTCTCCCTCCAGGAGACTCTGGTTACAAAACGCGACATAACAAGTATATTGTTATGCCGTGAAGTAGCAGTTTCACATTATTGTTATCTTGTTCTTGTAAAAGTATTTATGTTCCTTTCTGTTCTTGTTTTAGTATGTTCCTTCCTGATCTTGTTCTAGTATGTCCTGAACCCCTAAACTATACCTATTATAGTTTACTAGTATGTTTGTTTTGAACTGTCCCTGATTTGTAGAAAAGACTCAATTATCTATTGAGTTATGCATGTACCTTAAAAACGGAGTTTTATAAACAATAATCTAACATCATTTAAAAGAGTTTTTGGATTGATTTGATCACTTACTAAAGCATAAGAAATCCTTTGTAACGACGTAAATTTTCAACCAAAATTTCTCATTTTTAAATTCATAAAAACTCATATATTATATTCGATAATTCATAAATGTCTCAAAGTCAACATCGTTTTTAACAAGAAGTCAAATCCCAGAATCCTCATCATAATCATGAACAAGTGTGTACAATCATGCCGGTGCCTTCCCGCGATCCTCTGAAGTACCTGAAACACATAGCACATAACACGGTAAGCACAAATGCTTAGTGAGTTCCCCAAAATACCACATACACATACTAGCCACTCGAGGCTATAACTCTGTAAGACCTTCTGGTCGATGTATCTCAGTGGGACCCTCCAGTCCCATGAATCGTTGGACCATCCGGTCCGGTCTGGGTGAAAACCCTCCAGTCTCACTACTCGTTGGACCCTTCGGTCCGGTCTAAGTGAGGACCTTCCGGTCTCACGAATCATTGGACCCTCTGGTCCGGTCTGGGTATCACATAACATATCATACAAAACATATCACACATGAGATGCATAGCTCAACAAGCACATAACAATATCTCTATTTTCTCTTTCACACCTAAAGTCCTCTTATTCTTTCACACCTAAAGTATCTCAATCAATATCTCTATTTTCTCTTTCACACCTAAAATATCTCTATTTTCTCTTTCACACCTAATCACCTTAAACAAGTATCTCAATCAATATCTCTATTTTCTCTTTCACACCTAAAGTCCTCTTATTCTTTCTCTAACCTCCGGGATGGGTAAAAGACCATTTTACCCTTCCAAGGTTCCAGAAGCTCCTATTTGACTCGCACACACAAAGTCAACATGAGTCAGCTGTCAAAGTTGACCTGACTCGCCGAGTGCACCCATGTGACTCGCCGAGTCCACTCGTATTCCTCATAGTTCTCCCTAGGGTTCACTTAGCTCGTCGAGTTGACCCCCAACTCAACGAGTTATCACTGGGTCAAGGGTACCAGGTCAAACCCGCTCCGACTCGTCGAGTCATCTCATAGACTCGGCGATTTGTCTCCATTGGGTTTCTCATTTGGTCTTCTGAGGTCAGATCTGCAACCCTAGCTCATAGATCTAGCCTCTTTGTACCCAAAAGTCATGTAAATGTATGATCTTGATGTCTATGCATGGTATATATTGCTCTATATGCCATTAAGACTCCATTAAAGCTTCCTAGCTTCAAAGCTCCATGGTTACTCAGTCATAGCTTCCTACTTTCTGACTTTCTGGACCTTACAAGGTCCAAATCTATAGAATGACTCGCAAAGGGGGTTTGATTCACCCAAAACCCCATCAAAAAGGTGATACAAGCCCTAATTTCACAACCAAGGAATCTAATCAAACAACAAAGAAAGTAAGAGCTTATACCTAGATCTGAAGCCTGAAATGGAGATGAAACAGATCCACAAGCTCTCCTCCTTGATCCTTGAAGCACCTTGCCCTTCCTTTTAAGAGAATGACTTCAAATGAGCCTCCTTCCCTCTCTTGCTCACAATAAACGCTAGGGTTTCTCTCAAGGGTCGAATGGGCACTAATGGGGATGATATGGAGGCTATAAGTGTCTTTAAATAGGCCCAGGCCCGAGAAAATTAAGGTTTCCGTCAACAGCGCTGACTCGTCGAGTTGGCTCATCGACTCGTCGAGTCCACTCATTAATCCTTGTCACCAGTCGCGACCCTACTCGACGAGTTGAGGCACCAACTCGTCGAGTCCCTTCAAAATGTTCAAATTAAATGATTGTCACATGTAAATATTAACACAATAATATTGTGTTCAACTTGTATTAACACAATAATATTGTCACATGTAAATATTAACA